TATTATTATTATTATTATTATTATTATTATTATTATTATTATTATTATTATTATTATTATTGCTGTTGTTGTTGTTGTTGAACAGTCAGACAGATATTTAAATAGGACTACACATTTTTATCCACCACTGAGTCCTTCTCAAGGCTAGGCAGATGTTGTTTGAATATGTTAAAGATATAGTAGCAGGATGTAAGCTGTTCCCAGTAAAGCTGCCTTTTGTAATTGACTGATGAATTTATCAATGCCATTGATGTTCAAGTGATACTCCTGAAGTTTTGGGATTACACCCAAGGTGCCGATTACTATTGGTACTATCTTTGCTTTCTTTATTGTTATGGTTCTTCGCACAGTCAGATAATGTTAAGACCTATTTCGCATTTTGTCCATCTTTGGGGGGGAGGTCCTTCCCAAAGCCCTGCAATTGGAAGATGTTGTTTGAGGGTGTTAAAGGTATCGCCTGCAGGATGTAAGCTGGTCCAACCTTACGTTTGCAATTTATTATTATTAATCTTCAATTCGATTCAGTCTGGGACTAGTACAAACTTAACAGCTCAGGTCCTTACCAACGACCTAAGAGCTGTTAAGGTAACATCTAAATATATAGGTAGAGTGGGGTTTTTTTTTTTGTAAAGTCAGAATTTTCAGGTGTATCTAGTCTTTAATCTTTAAGACTTGTGGACTTCAACTCCCAGAATTTCCAGATTTCCATGTATCTAGGCTGCTTTTTGGGTGTTGCTTTAAGGGCTCCTATTTCCTATCCTTACAAGCATGGATTTCTTCGTCCACAATTATTCAGCGACCAAAGTCACAGTTAGCAGGGCTAGAGCAGATAAAGACATTTTCTCTTTTGGGATCGGTGAGACTTCCTCGAAGGTCCTTCCTCGGGGGAGCTAAAGGAAAAGGTTGATCCTCCAAAGAAAGTTAAGGAAGGCCGAGCAGGTGTTACTTGCCAGCCAAGTTGAACGGCTTGTTAGAGAGGCTCTTGAATCGTATGAGAAATGAGCCGTTCCTTGTCCATTTGGAAGCGGGTCTGATCCTAACTCCCCCCACCCCCCTTTACATCCCAGGTTCCCAGTCTGGTTGGTGTGAGCAGCTGCCCTTCATTGGGAGGTCAGCTTGGCGGAGGCTTCCTGCCAATGAAACCTATAGTGTAGTAACTGCAGCTTCCTAAATGCCGTCCTCTTGTCCTTCCTAGTACTTATCCGGACGTTTTCTCCCTAAAAAAAACTTAGGACTGGGAAGGGGAGTTGGGTGAAAGCAACAGAAGACCCGCATTTGCGGAGGGAGCTTCCTTCTTGTGGCATTTGGGGGCCCTTTTGAATGAAGCGAAGGGAGGAGGCAGTGAGTTTATTACCCCACCACCTCCCTCTTTTCTCCGTTGAACGAAAGCGGCCCCTTGCCTTTCGCTGGGCCCAGCGGGAACTTCGAAGCCCACGTGCGCTGGTGGGAGTTTTGAGCCTCCTTCTCCCCCTGCCTCTCTTCCTCGACCTTGCAGGGGCGGGGGGGGGTGGTCTGGAAAGGAAGGAGGGTCTCCGAGATTTCTAACGCGCCTCTCTTCCTTTGCACCAGCAGCCCATCTTCACGCTTCCTCCTCCAGAGGAATTGCAACTGCAGGCTCCTTCTGCAAACCCTGCGTTCTCCCTCAAGGACAGAGGTCTCCAAACTTGGAGACTTGAAGACCCGTGGATTTCAACTGCCTTTGGTAATTGATTGATGGTTTTATCAAGGCCACTGATATTCAAGGGATACTCCAGAAGGTTTAGGATTACACCCAAGGTGCCGATTACTATTAGTACTATCTTTGCTTTCTTGAAGTCCACGAGTCTTAAAGTTGCCAAGTTTGGGGACCCCTGATCAAGGAAACCAACAATCGGGAGACGAGGGGCGAGTACTGCTTTCCAAGGAAAGGAAGAACGGCTTTCCACATCTGCTTATGTCTCCCCCCCTACTTTTTTTTTTTCATTAGAGAACTCCTCTCTCTGAGTAAACGTACTCTGCACATGGCCGGAAGCGCTCTCGCCGCGAATCTTCTCCCGTGGGTGCCCTGGGACAAACACTCCCCGCCTTTGAGTGCCTTAAAAGCCGCCTTCTCCCTCAGTCAGCCGGATGAGTTATTGGCCGACTCATCCAGAGGGCACCGGGTTGGGGAAAGCCAAGGCCAGTAACCTCTTCTCCGCCGGCAGTTCCCAGAGCAGGTGCGCGTTTCCCCCGCGCTGCCCTTTCTCTCCGGGAACTCCGTGCGCCGGGCAAGTTGCAACCGCTGCCGGTGATGGAGCTGAGGGTCTTCCCGGCGTTCACCCGCTGAGCAGGCTTCACCCTTCACGAGGCCGAGACGGGACGGGCCATCCCTCAGTAGGCGCGATCCGGAGGGGCCCGCAAAGGCGCTCATTGGGAAGAACCGGGTTAGAAAGCGGGTGCGAGGGAAGTTGCGGCAGACATTTAGTAGCAGGAAACTAAGGCCTCCGGCGCCCCCTGGAGGCATCCCGCAGAGTTGCGGGGGGCAAAGGGGGAAGGAAGGAGGGAGGGAAGGAAGGAGGGAGGGAGGGAAGGAAGGAGGGAAGGAAGAAGGGAAGGGAAGGAGGGAGGGAGGGAAGAAAGGGCAGAGGGAAAGAAGGAGGGAGGGAGGGAGGGAAGGAAGGAAGAAGGGAGGGAAGGAAGGGAAGGAAGAAGGGAAGGAAGGAGGGAGGGAAGGAAGGAGATGACAAATTGTAAGTCCCCCTCCCCGAATAGCCAAAAATTTGGACCAGTCCCCCGAAGTTTGAGCATTGGGGTCTTGTGAAGAAGAGGTTATGTAAGCATGTGCAGAATACTTTCTTCATTCCTTAACGATTCTGCCTGTTACTCAGACACCAGGGACCCATAGAAGAATGTTAGAGAAATTAATTAAACTGGTATGTTCCGTTCTGTAATAACACTGCAGTACAGATTTATACTTGTCCAGAAAATTCCTTTAGTCAAGTGCAATTTTGCATCTCTAAGAAACCCATTCCACTGATTCTACTGCGGGATTATTACTACATAAGGAGTACTAGATAGGATTGCTTTTTTAAAAATTCCCCAAATCCAAATCGTGATGAAAGCAGTCTTTTGAAGCTGTGTATTTGTCTGTTTAGACTCTGTATGTTCATGTGCAACACAATCGTAATAATCAAACACAGCACTGTGCAATAGAACAGGGTCTCCAACCTTGGCAACTTTAAGCCTGGCGGACTTTTAGCAAAGCTGGCTGGGGAATTCTGGGAGTTGAAGTCCGCCAGGCTTAAAGTTGCCAATCTTTAGTGAGATTCACAGCCTTTGGGGCTGGTTGGTAGCTCAACAGCTCAAGTCCTAACCAAGGACCTAGGAACTGTTGAGGTAGCGTCGTCGGAGGATATAAGATGTTCCACGTAGGGTGGTTTTTTGTAGAATCTGGGTATTCAAGTCTGATAAATTCAGGATTTCCAAATGGCGAGGCAGCCCTTTAGGTATTGCTCCAAGGGCTCCAATTACAATTGGGAGAACACACGATTTCAACGTCAATTTGTAAGTCCCGGTACTTTGTGATTTTTTTCTTGCTGCGTGGCTACAATTATTGTTATTGTCGTCGTCATCATCATCATCATCATCATTATTCATCCTAGCATCGTAGGAAGCAGGACTATGTCAAGCGAGTTGCTACAGTACATGAGACGGAAGGAGCTCGGCAGATCATTTCGCTGGCAGGAGCGACGGCCCAGTGGGGAACAGGTGGACTGTTAGTTTCATTCAGCCCACACGGAGCGTTTATTTACGGGCCAAAGCTCCGCGGAGTCCCAGATGCATTTCTGCTTGGGAGGTTAAGGTTTCAAGTCTGCGCACGTGGAGCCGAGGAACTGCCGAGTCGCGCCAGTTCAGGCAGAGCAGGCCAGGTTGCGCTTCCGGCTCCCCTGGCCGGCTTCCCGACTGATGTCCTTCGGTTAAAGAAGAAGAGCTGCGTCCGCCCGAGCATGATTGACAGGCTGCATTCTCCAACGGCCAAGGCACTTGCTGCCCGCGGAGGAAGTGGGGGGGGGGAATCTCCCTGCCCGCGAGGCGGAGGCGTGGCTTCAGCAAGGTGTCCCCCACCCCCCACCCCCGGGGAGCATCTGAAGGTGGACGTCGCTGGGAGCAGATAAAGCTTGGAGGACGCCGAAAGAGCCCCGAGAAGAACGGCCGCCTCTAGACTCTTTCGGGGAGTTTGGCTTGGCTTGACTTGAGGATTTTCTCACGTTGCCTGGTAAATTCTGGGGAAATCCGAGTCGGCTGCTGCTGCTGCTGCTGCTGCTGCTGCTTAGAAAGGAATCGGTTCTTGTGTCTCCAGCCGGGGATTCGGGGGTTTGATAGCCTCTGACACATGACAGGTGAATGGCTCGCCCAGCTGATATCATGCATGCCAGGCATGAAGTGTGCCAACTGTGGGGGCAGAAACTGCTGGAGCTGAGGCTGGAAGTGTAGCAGTCCAAGTTCCAGGGAGGAGGAGGAGGAGGAGGAGGAGGTCTTGCCTTTGGCTGGCCTTGAAAAGATCACACTGAAGGTTTGAGGGCCACCAGGCTGGGGAAACTGCCCTCCCCCAAAAGACATGCAGTGTGCAGTTACATTGGATCCGGTGCCAGCCTTTTATTATTTCCATAATAAACTTTTCCATTAATAACAATGGTATACAACTTTCTTCAAAGGAAGTCGTCTTCAGTTAGATGGTGGTAGAGGGTTGCAAGAAGTGGAGGAGAGGAATTAGAGTCCTCTGTCTCCTGGGCCAAGAAAGGCATCTTGGGTGACCATTGTTGTCCCCAACATGTGACAGTTGTAGGAGGGCGCAAGAAGCTTCGGGACCAAGGGAAGAGAGGACTGGCAGCCTTGGGGGACTCAGGGAGCCCTCGTTTTCCATTGCTCAGCAGAAACAGCTATTCGCCTCCCTCCTCCTCCACTTCCACAGCTCAGGTGGCCCCTCCTCAGCAGGTTTACTGAAGAGGTGGGCCAAGGAGTGGCTAGAGAGGGAGCCTGGGCAGGGATCCTAGGAGCCTCCTTCCTCTTACACCTGATACGCCTTTGAGTTGGACGTATCGTTCAATTGAACCGTTTGACTAGAGGCCCGGACTTGTGAAAGCAAACCCAGGTTGCTCGGAGGTGCCTAGAAATGATCAAGGGCCAAAACTAGCCAAGGAATGGGAAGCCAAGTAGTCCATTTATAGGAAAGGAGAAATCTGAGCCAGGTTGTTACTGCTCTGGGCCTCTGGCCACAAATACCTGACAGGAGTCCAGTCAAGAGTAAAGGGATCGTTTCTGGAAGTAAAAGAATCACCTAAAGATCAGGGCTCTCTCCATTAGGTCAGCTGGCTCCCTTTCCCATTGAAGGTGGCAGATCTTTTGTTCCTGTTCGTTTTGTAACTCACTCCTGAAACAAATGCATTTGAAATTTACAACTTCTTTTAGCACTTCTCCAACCATGACTGTAGCAACCTAGCAATAAATAAAGGCAGACTTTATACCGAAACAACTGGATTGACCCAGGAAGGTAACTCACAGCACTGAGGGAATGAATCTTCCAACACTCTGGAGTTCTGCTAATGCCATCACCTCTACACTTCTCAACACACTCACCTGAATCATCCATTGATCCAAATAAATAGTTTGTTTGGGCTTGGCATGCCAATAAATCACAACTGCTGGATTCAACCAACACACTAAGCCAAAATGAAACCAACCCCATTTCTGAAGCCAGCTGTTGATTTAGCTCTCCCTTCCGCTATCAAAATTCAAATTCTTCCCAAAACAGTTGATGTCTGCCAGCAACTCAAAGAAAGAATCAAAGACTCTGGATTGTTCCTTTCCCTCACCTAACAATATTTTTCCCAGGTGCTCCTGCCATCCAGTAAACACTGACGGTGCCACAAGGATCTGCTTGTCTCAACCCAGCTTTCCTCATATTCTGGGGTCTGAGGATAGAGTGACCACGAACCAGCCACAGGGCTGAGTTTGCACAGCTTTCACCTGGAAGTTGGCTGCTTTGTCAAAGCCCAGTGTGTTGGGCCACTTGGCAGACACATATCTGAGCACCTGAAGATTGCTCAGGTGAGTCAAAGCAGACCACCTAGATTTTCATTGTCCTGCCTTGTCTACATTTGAATCCCTTCTCCCCATCCGGAGTTACTTCGGGTAGCAACTTTATGTGGTTACTTATGGGAACCTAAGATGAGTTGGTGTAAGCCAACTCATTGGTTCCGTTAAACCCAATTGCGTGGATTTCAGAGGAGTCGCGGTCATGTATTTCGACCCAAATCCAAGTGTTTGGGCCGTTTCAGCACGAAGAGGATTAGTCCACAAGAGAGTTTTGTTACCGTTAATTGGATTTATTGAGTTTTCAAAACAACATTTTTATAATCTCTGGACTTCGTCCCAGAAGCATGAAAAACTTTTAAAGTTTATTTATTCCTATTGGGAAAGGGGGGAAAATAGAAGGAGTTGGTTTATTTTATTGTGAACTGTACATTTGATGCACATCCCTCTTCACCCTGACTCTTATTTTCACTTGCAAAAGATACAAAGGGAGTCCTGGATTTGATTAACACCCCACCGTGTTTCTAAATACTACACTAACCATGCGAATATTTGTGTACTGTTCAGCATTCTTCACGTGCCATTCGGACCAAGATCGCCCCATATGCCACTCCCAAGTTTGTTTCTTTTTCTTTCTCGTTTAAACAAAATTCAGCGGGCTTTATTTCCAACCCTACCCGCAACCTCAGTGCTTTGCTGCATCTGCATTTCATCCAGGGAAGAGACGGAGGGTTGGGGCGGATGATGGACTATTTTGGAGAAATCTGTTTTCAGAATTGAGTTGCTTCCTAATTTTCAACAAGTCCTTAAGAAGTCAATGGGATTCTTTTTCTTTTCTTCAATAGGGAGAGATGATCTGGTGGTTTTTAAATCACGCCCGTTGGGTTTAATGGTGAATGCGAGTCGAGGCACTGGGGGGAAATGTTGACAGTCAAAATCCAGCACTGATTGGCTTTTAGAAGTCCTTCGCCTTCTGGGCTTTTTCGGATCTGCACTTTAGAGTGGGACAGGCTGCAACCGGGGAGCCCTAAGCGAGAGGACTAGGGCACCTCTTCCCAAAGGAATCTGTCTCCCCCCCACACACACACACCTAGGAGTAGCCATGGCATTACATTCTCCTTCAGACCGTCCTAAAAGGGAAATGATTGAAGAGCGGGAGAACTGGATTCCTGGCTCTAGGCCGGCCCTTTCATATACTTTCCTTGGCAGCCTTCCAGGAGTGGGGTGCCCCTCCCCCACCAAGGAGTTGGGGCATACAGCTGGGGAATTTTTTGGGTGGTCTCCTATCCAAGAAGAAACCTAATGGGATCTTACTGGGTTTGGGAGCCCGGGCAAGGGAGGCCAGATGCCCAGTCCACAAACTAATGTCAGAAGATTGATTGGAGCTGAGCATATTTAGAGCTGTGCTGGTTTGTAGCCTAGGACGAAGATAAAAAGATGAGTTTTTCTTTTTAATACTCTTAGACCCAGTCCAAAATCGAAGTCATTACCATCATCTTTATAAATCTATTATGGACATATATTGACAGAAAAATCAGTGATGATTTTAAAAAAAAGCTAGGTTTGTAAAACAAACGATCTATCCAGTCTCCCCAATAACAACGCTCAGTAGATTTGCGAGCTTGGTTTTAATGGAGAAATGGTTTTATTTACTACAGACATTGTACACATATGTTATTATACCTTATGCTGATAAACAATGATTGTAAACCATTCAGCAAAGCAGATGGCAATTTAGAGACTAATTTTCCAGAAGTGCCCCCTCCCTTAAGAATGTGTCTTCCCAACTGAAAAAGAAAAACAAAAAGAACTCGTTGGTTTTCAAAACCGGGAACTCTTATTTGACGATCCTCCAGGAATAAACCGGGAGTACCTTGGTGTCCCGAAAACAGGCAACGAAATCCTAAAACCTCTAACGCTGTTCCGATGAAACCAGTAGTTTGAGCTTAAGGGTGAACACTTCTCATTAATGAGCCACTTTGTAAAAGTCTCATCCTTTAATCGATAGTGGGACAATGTCGGGTAGTTGGTAACCAAACTCACCCTCGGGTTTGTTTGTTTTTAAAGCAACCATGTTCTCGAGCTACGTTTTGCTCGATCGCTGTTTATACTTGCAAAGAATCCTAAAAATCTACTTTATTCCCTGACGGATTCCTAAAGGGAGTAGAGAATAAGGAGGAGAGGGGGACGGATTCCTAAGGATAGTAGTAGAGAATAAGGAGGAGAGAAGGACGGATTCCTAAAGGGAGTAGAGAATAAGGAGAGGGGGACGGATTCCTAAAGGTAGTAGTAGAGAATAAGGAGGAGAGGAGGATGGATTCCTAAAGGGAGTAGTAGAGAATAAGGAGGAGAGGGGGACAGATTCCTAAAGGGAGT